GAAGTATCAGTGGCGCAGCAAGTAAAACGTGAGCTGTTTGCTTTTGACGCAGTCGACCCGAGTTCGATCCTGGTTTTTGTCAAACTCATGCTTCTCCTTTTCCCATCACATACCAGATCAGAAAGAAATTTATTTTCAATAAAAATTAAGTAAATATTTGAAAAGTGGAAATAAAACGCCTCAATAATACAGTGTTGTGTATGCTTTAGGTAGGTTTTTGTCCCAATAAAGTGGCATTCATCTAATACAATTTATATATACAGTATATGATAATTTACACTCAATATGTCATTGCATACTGTTTTATAATGTACTACAGTATTGAGGTATAAATATCTGCCACCTAACTACTATTTACACTCCTGTTGCTAAAGAAAATGCTGCTATTTTAGTGTAAACAGAATTGATCATTATTTGCACTTAGTTTAACTAGAATATATATCGCTTTTTAATATATCGCCACTTAGTGTAACTACCAAAAATATCAATAAAGACAGCTCAGTGTTGATTTAGTTCTGTCCAATATGTAAAGTTAATCAATTATGAAATGAGTTCAATTGGGCAATATAGCATTGTTTACTAGTATGAAGCCTTATTAACAAGCCTTTGTAAAAAGAACAGTTAGCTAATTTGTTTCTAAGGTAACAACCTTGACAGCTGTGCTGAATTAATGTTCAGTGTTTGTCATGTGACAGCACTTAAGCATACTACTCTGAAACATTTATTGCTTATTGTATACGGTTTCACACACTATTCTTTAAAAAAAATAGGCAGTATGCACTGTGTACTGGGCAGTAAGCAGCCAGGGAGATGCACAAAGCATCCAGACTGAGTGTCACAATATGTCACAATAACTGGTTCATCACGGTTTCCAATGAAGTTCTGCTCTCACAGATGGGTGGAAAACATTGAGGTTGCTTCAAGAGGCCCAGAGGTGTTACCTCATCTAAAAACAGTAGAAGCAGACAAGAAGTTTACCACTTCATAGTGTAAAACATTTACAATAGCGAAAGAAGCTTGTAAGGATCCATTACTGCCTGCAAAGCTGTGACAATTATGGACTTGAGTTTTGTCTTTCGTGTTTCCTTTTCCTGTTTGCCCTTAGTTGGTTTTGTTCCTGTCCTAGTTTAGTTCATTAGGTCATTATCTTGTTTAGTTCATTATCAGTTAACCTCCTGCACCTGTGTTGCCCTCATTAATTGCCTCATTTAAAGGGGTCATATGATGCTGCTAAAAAGAACATTATTTTGTGTATTTGATGTAATGA